TTTAAAGATTTTATTTATTTATTTGACAAAGAGAGAGATCACAGGCAGAGAGGCAGGCAGAGACAGAGAGGGAAGCAGGCTCCCCGCTGAGCAGAGAGCCCGATTCAGGGCTCGATCCCAGGACCCCAAGATCATGACCTGAGCCGAAGGCAGAGGCTTAACCCACTGAGCCACTCAGGTGCCCAGGTGTTAGCTCCTTTAATCCTCACAACTCTCCTTCGTGGTTAAGTACCTTCTTATTGCTCCCATTCGACAGAAGAGGAAAGTGAGGTGCTCATTCAGCTCACAGCACTCCTCTGGCTAAAACCCTTCATGGCTCCCACATCCCTGGGTTAGAGTCCCAACTCTGTGATGCAGACTCCCTAGACCTGCAGGCCCTGCCCCCCTCCCCCAGCCCCTTTCTCACATACCCCTCCATGATTCCCCCACTGCAGGGACCACCTTCCATTGTTCTGGTGCTCTTGCTGTTTCCTACCTCCAGGCTGTTCCCTCTGCTGGGACCCTTTTGTCTTCTCATGCCAGCTTCCTGTGGCTAAACCCTGCTCATTCATCCACCTCCACGTTGATAGCCCCTCCCCCAGAAGCTGTCATGTCCCCTTTTGGGGCTCCCTCTGTCCAGGATCTCTTATTACCCACCCGTAGGTGCCTGGCCACACGTCTGTCCTCTGCTCACCTGCACAAGCCACGAGAGCAGAAACTGAGTCACCATTGGTCTCCGGCACACAGCGCCAGGCTAGGGCACACAGTAGGGGCTTAGGAAATGTCTACTGAGACCTCCATCTGTGGCTAGAGGTGGGAAAGGGTGGAGGGTTTGCTGCTATAGGAGCCAAAACAGGTCAGGGTTGGCTGGGGTAGAGCCCAAAGCCTTGTTAATAAGCCCCCCGGGGTAATGGCATGAAGAGCAGGCAGCTACCAGGTGCTACTAGGGCCAGGCATCACGTGCTTCTCATTAACGCGTTAATTTAGTCCTTGAAGCAATCCTTAGGGATTGGTTTTTAGTGTCCCCACTTAGTGGAGGAAACTTGAGGTTCAAAGAGGTTAAGTCACTTGCAAAGGTCACACTGCTGGAAAGTGACAGAGGGGGATTTGAACCAGGGTACAAGTCCAAGTTCTTGGCCTGTCACTGGGGAGCTGGCAACAGCCCGGAGCAGGAATAACCATCCCCCGCCCCACCCCCACCCACAGCTACTCTAGAGACCCTGACCCTGCGGCCCTGGATGCATATGGGAAACATGGCCTAGCAGCACTGTCCTGTGCCCACAACTAGGCATGGGGAAGTGGAGAAGGGTGTGGGGGAAGACATAGGGAGAGTGGCTGAGAAGGGCCAGAAACCCACCCCACCTTGGGGTGGGGAGAAGGCCTATGGCCACTCTGTCCCTGGGGCTGTATCCCTGGAGAGGCCCTGCCCCTCTAAGGAGAAAGAAGCCCCAGCCCCCTTCAGCAGAGTGAGTCACTGCACCAGGCCAGGCTGGGGACCGTGGGAACCAGGCCGGTTCCTGCCAGAGGGGGAGGGGGGATACTGCAGTGGCGGCCTGAGGAATCCCATGGATCAACCCACACCAAGGGCCTGGATGGACACACAGGCCCTGGAAAGGCCGAAGGCAGCCCAGGGGCTGGCCTGACCTCAGCCTGGGCCAGCACGGTAGGGTCTTCCCTCCATAGGACAGGGAAGACTGTCCCCACCCACCTCCTCTGGCCCTGAGACCCTCAAACAAAGCTTGTACCTCAAACACACCCCTTTGGAGGATGTGGCTATGCGGAGGGGAGTGGTAGATGTCCCAATCACCGGATTGGGCAGCCAGCCCTGACCCGGCCAGCCCTTGTGGGTGGCAGTCTGCCCCGCTCACCCACCGTGCCCTTTATCTTCAGGGCACCCAGCCAGCTGGTGGTGGGCAGCCTTGGGAGCAGGAAAGCGGAGAAGGAATCTGCGTTTTCTCAAAGCCCCAGTGTTGGGAACACCCACGGGAATAATTAATCTCATGAGATTTTTCCGCAGCCTGAAGACCATGGAGAAGACATGGGGCAGGGCCACAAGGGGCCTGGCCCCAAAGAAGTCTCCCTAGGAAAAGGCCAAGTTCAGTGTCTTGCTGAAGGAGAAACTGAGGCTTCCTAGGTGTTGAAATGGACTCCCCTGCCTCACACCAGGATGCAGAGTGTGGAAAAGGCACAGGGTTCCACCTCTCAGGGCTCCCTGAAGAAAGGACCACTTGCTAGTGGGCTTTCTTGAGGGGACCTGCACAAAGTTCCCTTCTACATCTGTGTCATGTCCCCTGCAAGGTCAACATACACAGGGATCCTCCAACCTGGCACCCTCACCTCTGTCTGACCCAGCCCAGCCGCCTGGGCCCCATTCTTGCCCAGCCGATTTGCTGCCGAACCTGATTCCTCCCCATTCCCTCCTGAGCCCCTGACCCTCTCCTGCCCCCTGCACATCCCAGTGCTACACACAGTCCTGTTCACCTCCCTCCACTGCCCCAGCTCCCGCACCTCCCCATACCAGCCACCTGAGACTCCTCCAACACACTTGCGTGCACACACACACACACACACACACACACTGAATTCCACATCCATGAGGCAGAAAAGGAACAGTGGTATTAAGAACACAGATGACGCCAGACAGCTAGGATTCAAACCCTGCCTCTGCTGGTTCCCGGCTGTGTGATCTTGAGCAAATTATTGAACCTCTCTGTTCCTCAATTTCTTCATCTATAAAATGGGGATGAGAGTAGAGCCTACCTCAGAGGGTTGCTGTGAAAACCAAAACAGTTACGCCATTTGGTGCACTTAGTAGGCATTCCACAAAGGTGGTTGGCTAGCCCACAGCCCCCAAGCCTGGTCTGTGCTAAGTGCTCAGTACATATGTGTTGAATGAGTGAATAAAAGCTGGCCTCAGGAACACACCTCTTTGCCAACCAGGGGTCTCCGCAGAGTCTCTACTGGTCCCCAAACACCTGCGTTCCCTGCCACACACATCCCACTGCATACTCGGGCCCACCCTGCTGCCCATGTCCCTCTGGGACTCTTCTACGTGCCCTACACTCCTGCATGACCAGCTCAGTGACACACAAATCTGGCGCATACACCCCCCTCACTCCCTCCTTGCTGCCCCTCACACATACCTGCAGGGCCCTGGAGCACACCTGCATGCCTCCCTGCACACCTGCCACACCCAAGCACACAACTGCCAACTCCCAGAGCAGCCCTGATAGGCTCACGCTGCCAGCCTGGAACACGCTTTTGGGCAGATATGCACTCGCTTGCTCGGGCACTCTGCACACACGTAGGACCACCACGTGCACACCTGACCTATATACCGGCCCTCAGCTCTCTCCAGTGCACATGTGTAACCTCGACCCCTCCCACACACCTAGTTGTGCTCACCTGTAACTCAGCACTCCCTTGAGTGCCCGCCGGCGCACACCTATACCATATTTGCACCAGTGCCCCCACCATGCCTGACACCTGGGTCCCAGCAAACGCACCTGTGGCCCAGAGTACGTACCTGAATCTCCACACGCACGTCTGGGTCCCACACATTGCCCCCTGTGTCCCGCTCAGCACACAACCCGCCCGGTTACCTGCACGCTGTCCCTCCTGTTCCCCGCCCGCCCCCGGGGCGGGCGTTCTGCTCCCTCGGCGTACCTGGATGTTGCGCTTGCGCTCGCAGGCCGGCCCTGTGCCCTGCACCACGCTGTCGAGCACCGCCACCACGTCCGGTGCGGGCTCCACGAAACAGGCGTTGCGCGCGGCGCGGATGGCGGCTTGCACGTCTGCGAAGCGGAAGGCGCACAGCGCGGCCGGAGTCGCGCGGGCCGCGGGGGACCCCTGCGGCCGCTCGAAGACAGCGAAGAGCAGCTCGCGCGCGGGGAAGACGGACACCAGGCGGCTGTAGAGGTCGCCGCGGCCCGCGCCGCCCGAGCACTGCAAGCCCAGCTGGATGTAGGACTCGGTGAGCTTCTTGGCGTCGCCGCCGGCGCCGCGGGGCAGGCAGATGCGCGCCAGCAGGCTCCGCGCCTGGCTCTCCTTGTCGCCCGCGCGCGCCTCGCTGTTGAGCGCCAGGTACGCATAGGACGGGGCGCCCGGCGGCGGGTCGGGCGGGTGCAGGAAGGCGCGCACGAAGCCCAGCTTGTGCTGCTCCTTAGCGCCCTGCTTGATCTTAAGAATGTTGTCGTCGGAGGGGTTGAGGTCGAAGGTGAAGAGCTTGGCCAGGTCGCCGCGCGCATCCAGAGAGCGAATGGCGATCTCGGGCGTGTTCTCGAAGCGGTGGTCCTCCAGGCTGCGGTTGCGCGGGAAGAAGGCGCTGCCGTAGCCGGTGTACGTGGCGCCCACGAGCAGGCGGCTGCCCCCCGTGCCGGCGGCCGGCGGCAGCACCAGCCCTACGGTAGACGCGTTCGGGTGGTTGGCCGCCACGTTGAGCATGCTGGGGAACACCGTGACGGGCTCGGCGGGCGGCGCGGCGGGCGGGAAGCGCACGGCCACTGCGGAGATGTTGCCCCGGCGCCGCAGCTGGCAGAAGCCCTGGTAGATGGACCCGCACACGACCACCAGGCCCTGGCCGGGGTCCAGCTGCAGGATCTTGTTGTAGTTGTCGGTGAGGCGCCGCGGGTGCTCGCACGAGGCCTGAGGCAGCTGCGGGGCGTGACACAGCGGGCTGTCGGCCACCGGGCCCACGGCCGCCTCGGCCTCCAGGCTCAGGTTGGCGCCCGACAGCTGATAGAGGCGGTTGACGGCCGCCAAGTACACCGTCCCCGCCGCGCCGTCCAGGGCGAAGTTGTTGGTGGGCGTGGGCGAGGGGAACCGGCGTTGGATCTCCAGGGCGCCGGCCCGCGCCGCCCACAGGAGCAGCAGCAGCGGCAGCAGAGGGCACGGTGACGGGGCCCGGAATGGCGAGCGCGGCGGCGGGGGGCTGGCCGCGGCGGCCCGAGCGCTAAGGGGTGCGCCGCCCGCGGCGCGACGAGCCATCCGGGCGTGCGCGGGCTGCGCGGCGCGGCGAGTGCATGGGGCGCGGCGCGGCCGGGAGCCGGGAGCCCGGAGGCGGCAGGAGGCGGGGGGCGGGCCCGGGCCGCGAGGCGCTTCCTGCCCGCGCCAGCGGCCCCCGGCCCAGGCGCCCCGGCCGGGCTCAGCCGCGCCGCGCAACCCGGGGGCGGGGCGGGGGCGGCTCCGCTGCGGACACGCCCTCGCGCCCCGCCCCCGCCGCGCCCCGCCCGACCGCGCCCCGCCTCCCGGGCCCCCCTCCCGCCCCCGGCTCACCTCCCCAAGCGCCCCGGTCCCCTCCCCCCGGCAGCCCGCCGGCCCCGCCCGGCCCTCCAGCCGTCCGGCCTTCGCTCGCGGGTCGACGGGTCCAGCCGCCCCGCGCCCTCCAGGACTCTCCCGCGCGGCGCCCGCGGCCCGAGGCTCGAGGCTCCCCTTCCCGGCGCTGCCTCCGCCTTCGTCGCTCGTTCCTCTCTCTCCTTCCTCCCTCTTGACCGCTTGGCCTGTCTGGCTCGGGCTTGTTTCCTTTTTTCTTTCTTTCTCCCGGGTCTCTCTCAGTGTCTCCCTGCCCGTGTCTCTGTCTAACCCCTAACCCCTCACGGCCCCCCAACTCCGTGTGTGTTGTCTCCCTCTTTTTCTCAGCCTCTGGCTCTTCTTCCCTCTCTCGGACTGCCTCTCGTTCTATCGGTTCTGTTACCACCACCCGTTTCCCCTCTCTCCCTTCTGTTTTTGTGTGCCTGGCGCTCCCCCTCTCTCCATGGCTCCCTCCTTCTCCCGCGTCCCTCACTCCGCGTCTCTGTCTGCCCCCAGTCTCTGCCTTCCTGATCCACAGCCCTCACTAGCATACCCCGTCTCACACTCAGAGGCTCTCCCCTAACACTCGCTTCCACCGGACGCAGTCCTGCCTTCCCTGGGCCAGTTGGGCACAGGGCACTGCCTCCTCAACCCCACCTTTGGCCCCCCAAAACTCAGCCCCATAAAGGAGGTTTTACAAGTGTCAAGGACAGCGGGACAAAAGCTCAAGGGTCAGACATGTAAATGAGGAAAACAGGGAGAGAGGAACTATTTCAGGCATGTGCCAAGCCAAGGGGCAGGCTGGGCTGGGAGGGTGACCCAGAGTGAGGCTCTGGCCCTGGGGGAGAGGGGAGTGGCTCTGGGAGGCCCACCCTTGCCTCTGTGGAGACCCAGCCCTGTGGGCTGCTGCCCCTCCCCCCACTGCATCTTGCCAGGCACTTCCCCTTACTCAGGACTCTGGAAGGACCTAAAATCTTCCCAGACTTAGTGGAAGATCAGTCTTGAGTGAGCTGGCACTCAGGCCTGCTTCTCCTTTCTTTGAGCCTTTCTTCTTTCACCTGGAACAGGTAGGCACTGAGGTCAGAGGCAGGCCGCCGTGATTCTGAGGTCACAGAGCCCCTGCGAGAAAAGCATCCACAGCCTCTGCCCACGGTGGTGCCCGAGCAGTGCCCTGCCAGGCATGATGCCAAGTGCTTTACTTGTACTGCCTCACTGAGTCCTCACAGACGCCTTCTGAGGCTGGTGCCCTTATCATCCCACCTTACAGATTTGGAACCTGAGGCCCCAGAAGTGAAGGGACTGGCCCAATATGCCCACCTCACCGGGAGCAGAACTACCAGGCTTGAAAGCCAAAGTCTGTTGGCCTTGAGCTTCACCCAGATCACTCCCAGCCCCACGCCAGCTCTGGCCGCTCAGAATCAGGGGGCTCCCATCAAAGGTCACACCTCTGGGATGGTCTGGCCTCAGGATGGTTTTTCTTTCAGGATGCTTTCATGATGGTCTGGCCTCAGCTCCTTTGTTTCCACCTGGCCAGGAAGGAAAGACAGAGGGTTTCTATGTCCCAAAGGGTAGGCGGGAAAGGCCAGGCCTACTGTCCGCCACTTCCCCCATTCAGCACTTGTCTTCCTGCTGCCAGCCTCTGCCCACCACGCTTGCTTTTTTGGTCGCTTTGGTCGCCCCCTCTAGCCACTGCTTTGGCAACCAGGTGTGTTCAACTGTAGGGAATCAGAGGCTCTGTTTCTGGTGTTCTGTCCCCCTTGGCTCAAGGCCACTCGAGGGACAGCTCAATAGGCTGCCCCCCATCCCTAGATGGGGAGGGCTCCTGCTATGCCACCTGTGGGAGTGGACTGGGGAGCCCCACAGGGGTACTGGGGTGTCAGTGCACTCCCCACTTCTCCGCAGAGCCCCCCCCATCAGTCCATCTGTCTGCCTCCCTCCCACTCTTATCTTTTTCTAGCCTTCCCCACCCCATCTCTGTTTTTATCTTCTCGCTCCCCCGGGTTACTCTCTCTCTCTTTGTCTCTCTCCCTGTCTCCTCCCCTCCTTCCACTCTGTCTCTTTGTGTGCATATCTCTGTGTCTCTCTGTGTGTCTCTCTCTGCCGGTCTCCCTCCCTATCTCCCACCCCTCTCTCCCTCTCTGGCCCCTCCTAGCTTCCTTCCTGTCTCCGTGCTCATCTTACCGCATCCTGCAGCTCCCCCCACTGAGCCTTGAGGAAAATGCTCGGTGTTGTCACAGCTCCTGGTTCCTGGCACTTTGGGCAGAATCTACCCGCAGAGCGGAGCACTGGGAGCTCGGGAGCCACCCTGGGCTGGGGGTATGCAAGGCGAGGTTAGACTGCAGAGGGCCCTGGCTGGGTCCAAGTGTCCTCTCAAATTGCTGTGTTAACTAGGGCAAGGTACTTGGCCTCTCGAGCCTCAGTTTCCTTGTCTGTAAAACAAAAACGATCATAACGGCATGCAGGCCCCTGGGAGGTTGTAAGGTGTAAACAACGCAACTATCAGCAAGTGCAGTGCCAGGTACACGGCAGGCACAGGGCAAACCGCAGTTCCTCCCCCGCCCCACCCCCTGCAAAGAGCAGTGGCCCACAGGGTCCCACTTCTGGCCTCGGGTTCCACGGCCGCTGGTGGAGCCACTGTCCACCGAGGGCGAAGTGTGTACCCAGCACTGTGCTGCAAAATCTCATCCCACCCTCACTGCCCACAGACAAGGCCGGGGTCATGGAGCCCATTTCACAGATGGAGAAACTGAGGGTATTAGCATGAGAACTTGAGCCCAGTTCTGTCTCCAGGTAGTGGATTTCCTCCCCTTGGCCCGTTAGCTGGGAGTTCCTTCAGATCGGCATGGGTCACATGGCAGGCTTCTGGACCCCTCCCTAGCTGGGCAGAAGAGAGGAGGTGCTGATAACTTTTGGCGGAAGGAAGGAAGGAAGGAAGGAAGGAAGGAAGGAGCAAGCAAAAGAACCCACACCTTCCCTGGCCTTACTAAGATGCAGGAGGGATGTCCTCCCAGAGAGGATTTTAGAGGAAACTGAGGGGAGATGGAAGGACTCCAGGAGGGTCGTTTAGGTGACACCCAGCGTTAACTAACTCTGAATTAACTAGCCCCGACTAACCAATTCTAGACTGACAACCAGCTAATCCCAAATCACACCAAGACTCGGTTCCTTTCCAGTTTTTGTTCACGACTTGTGATCATATCAAGGAGAAGTTCTCCGTTTGGCGCTAATGTGCCTTTAATGCCTCTCTAACATCTTTCATTGTCCATTTTTAATAGAGAAAAGGTCTTAAGCTGAGTGCCGTCAACATCAGGATTCTAGAATTTACTTACAGCTCCGTATTTTCTTTAATTTGCAATTATGTTCTGGTTTTGGCAAGTGATACTGGTTTCCAAGTACACTCATGATGTAAAAGCTTGCTTGATAAATGCACGTATTGAAATTTTTAAAACGATGTGCGTTGAAGACAAATGGAGTGGGTTATAATCCGTGCGGGACGACACACCAGAAAAATGGGCAACATGGATTTCATCCAGTACCTTCTTTAGATGAGGACACGGTGGAGCAGATGGGGCAGGTCCTTGCTCGCTGACCAGGCTGGCCCCCAGACGGCGGGTCTGGGCTCCCACTACTGCCTGGGCGGGGGCTTCCCCATCCTGCCCTGTCCATCCTCAGTGGAGCCATGAGGAGGAGGAAATGTTTTTCTTCTTCAATTGGAAAAAATAACAGTGGGGCCAGGGCTGTGCTGGGAGCGGTGCCTCCTGCCCCTCTGTCCCTTGGGCCTGGCCTAAAAGAATGCTTTCCCTGCAGGAAATGCTCCTGACGCGCGCTGACTGCCCCGAACGCTGCTCTGGTGACAGGAAGATGCTGGAAGCAGAATTCTCTGGGACAGTGCAGCACCCCCAGCATGGGCGTAGATAGTGCTGGGAGCTATCAGTGCAGATGGGAGCTATCAGTGCAGATGGCCTTTACCCATCTTCTTTCCTCCTGAAAGGAAGCGGTAGGTTTTCTCATGCCTGTTTTACAGATGGGGACACTGAGGGTCAAGAAGGTGCCATCACTCACCTATAGCTACACAGTCAACTGGCCTCCAAACACTGTGCTTGGCCACTGCACCCCTCTACTCCTTGCCTTGCAGCTGAGAGACCTGAGGTCCAGGGCCACTTCAGCCCCTAACCACCTGTGTGACCTTGGTGGTGCCACCTCTCTTTGAGCCTCAGTTTCCTTATCTGGAAAAGGCGAATGCAATCCACCTCACAAGACTGCTGTGAGGATAGAAAAACATAGGCATGTCCTTTGCCCAGCCCGTCGGGAAGTATCCATTGCCTTTCCAGCTCTGAAACATGGGATTCTCTCCCTCAGACTCCTCAAACTGATCGTCTGTACCTGACTCAGAAAACCCCTGCCAGACACAGATAATGGTATCACCCCCATAGTGGCTGCCACAGAGGGTGTCTTGCTGGCACGACATCACCTTGTTTAATTAACCCTCCACCGGGTCTCCCCCCTACTCATTAACTGGAAGCCAGGACTCAGAGAGGTCTAGGGACCTGCCTGAGGTCACACAGCAAATAGGTGGCCCAAAGTGACTCCTGCCCCCTCTCCAGCCAGTCTTGCCCCTCCACACTGGATCGCCTGTCATTGCTACCATGTCCTACTGGAGTGGCCCGGGAGGGACCAGGGTGACCCTAGAGTGGCCTCACTGACAGGAGACACAGATCCCATCACACTAATGTGTTTAAATTACAGTTGGTGCAGCTGGGGCGGCTTCGTGGACGCTTCCCCATTGCAGACGCCGTGGAAAAGTAGGGGGTTTTACCCCCCGTTGGAGTTCTGGAGTACACCCTCCCCTGCCTCCATTGGAAGCCACCCTGGGAGTGGGGTGGGGAGGGTGACCCAGAAGGTCCGGTTTCAGGGCTCAGGAGGGGTGGCCTGCCCTTGGCTGTGAGGATGAGCCCCTGGTCATCGCACTCTGTCTTTGTCTCCCCGTGGGGCTGGAGGAAATGGTTCTCATTCCTGTGCATGAGAGATGCCCTCTCCCAACTCCGGGCACATGCTTGCCCTCTGTGGAGCAGACACGGCAGGCTGGGGTGGGGACATGGGGCCCCCATGCACCCATCCCGGGCGCCTGGCCTGCCGATCCCCCGCGTGGCCCCTTTGTGCTCTGTGAGTGGGATAATGGGCGGCATTCTCAGACGTCCAG